ACTGCAGGGGAATTACGAGATAAGAAACCATTCCCACCCTGAGAGCATACGTTCTACTAGAGGCTTTAGACAATACACCATGTATCCCTGCCTTTCTAGACTTTATATGTCATCATGGCTAACAAGGCTATGAATCTTTGCAAATATTCTGTAAACTTTCACAGGTGATGTTCATAGAGGGAATATAACTGCCTCCTCAAATGTCTAAAGCCCAGTCGCCTCACTCTTCTCTAGAAAATTTCTCCCACTTCCTACCATCACTCTTGCTGTCAGTGGCACAACTATTCTTTACGTCTTATAGCAGAGAAATACTTCTTGATTCTCTCTTCTTCTTCATCCCTATAACAGCACAGACGTTGTCTGGTTTGTTCACTAAAGCACCTCCCAAACACTAAGGGTTCAAGAAATGTTTACTTAATGACCTGGTACAGTAAAAATTTATTATGATTCTGAATTTTTTTTGTTTTGTAATTTCATCTTTACCAAGTCCCTTATACAGAAAATATCATTGTATCAAAATAGGTCAGTTGCTGGAACAAACAAACTCAGTGGCCTAAGGATGGAGAATTTGATTTCTCTCTCATGTTACAGGTCAATATGGGTTATCAGCAGGCGGTCATCTACATGGTGATTTGGGGTGCCAGGCCCCTTTTGTCTGTGGCTCTGCCTTCCCCTTGGCCTCAGAATTGTCTCTTGGATCCTCTGCATCCAGCCCACATCGGGAGAGACTGGAGGATCAGAAAGGTGGTTTCTGTGGGCCAGGCCTGGAAGGCACATGCATGATTCATGCTCACATTTCACTGGCTAGAACTCAGTCATATGGCCACACCTAACGCAAGGGAGATGGGGAAATGAAGTCTGCCTGTACTTCAAGGAGGAAAGGGACATAGGTGGGCAAATGGGTTGCATGATCACCATTTCTTAGGGAAGAAAGAGGAGAACCAAAGAGGTTGAATTACTTGCTTAGGCTTACAGCCAGAAAAGTGGGACTGGGATTAGAACCTTGACTGGCCTCCACCACGGCCACACGCTGTCTTCTTGCTGACACTGCTGGCAGACGCTGCGCAGGCCTGTTTCTTTTGTTGCTGTTGTTGTTGTTGTTTTGAGATGGAGTTTCCCCCTTGTCACCCAGGCTGGAGTGCAGTGGTGTGATCTTGGCTCACTGCAACCTCCCCCTTCCTGGGTTCAAGAGATTCTCCTGCCTCAGCTTCCCAAGTAGCTGCAATTCCAGGCACTCGCCACCAAGCCCAGCTAATTTTTGTATTTTTAGTAGACATGTTGGCCAGGCCATGTTGTCTCACACTCCTGACCCCAAGTGATTCGCCCACCTCTGTCTCCCAAAGTGCTGGGATTACAGGTGTGAGCCACCACGCCCGGCCTGTTCATGAGCCTTCACTGGAAACACACTTGCTGGTCAGCCTCAACCACTCCTGTCCACTTCCCCCTGGACAGAGCTCCTCATGCATTTCCCCATCCTCCCAGTCTCCAGCTTCTGCATCTCTACTTCTCCTCCTTCCTCTCTGCCTCGGAACTTCGCAAAATCGCTTCCATTTTTCATATTTTCCACACAAGACCCCGTTGAAATCTGCCTTCTCCCATGACAATGCACTTGAACCTATTTCAGTCAGGCAAGGATTCTTAGACACCTTTCCCTAGCATTGGAGAACTAATATAAGAACTAATCACCACACCCTGCACATATATTAATATTACCTCATTACTTCTCAAAAACACCCTGGTAAAATATTATGATTTTCTACCATTTACAGGTGAGAAACTTAAGTTCAGAAAGGTTATGTGACCCTGTCTTGCTTGCGGTCACATAGGTAAGTAGCAGAGCTAGACTGGAATCCAGGTTGGACTGACTGCAAGCTGATGTTCCTGCCCCACCCCTACAATAGTCCCATTCGCTCCCACTGACCCCTCTCCAGGGACTCCAGGGAGAATCAACTGACAAGTTAGAGATCCTAACACAACGAAACTTCAACCTTTATGTTTGTAAGACTTGAAGATACGGCCGGGCGCAGGGCCTCACACCTGTAATCCCAGCACTTTGGGAGGCGGAGGCGGGCGGATCACGAGGTCAGGAGATGGAGACCATCCTGGCTAACACGGTGAAACCCCGTCTCTACTAAAAATACAAAAAACTAGCCGGGCGAGGTGGCGGTCGCCTGTAGTCCCAGCTACTCAGGAGGCTGAGGCAGGAGAATGGCGTGAACCCGGGAGGCGGAGCTTGCAGTGAGCCGAGATCGCGCCACTGCACTCCAGCCTGGGCGACAGAGCGAGACTCCGTCTCAAAAAAAAAAAAAAAAAAAAACTCCTCTCTCTGAATAGTCTAATTTTATTTAAAAGTTTGCTTCGGTTTTGTGAATGTAAAACACGATATCCACTGTAGGGGCAAATAGGTGTGATGCCTTTCCTTACCCACCATAAGGGTCACAGCTGGACCTCTTACAACAACAAAAAGGGTTAACAGAGGAAAGCATAGCATATTCATTTAATCCAAGTTTTTATAGGGTGGAAATCTTCAGAATGAAGACCCAAACACACAAGTGACACTGTTCATCGTTAGGCTTAAGTCGATGAAGACTGTACAACAGTATAAAATGTGATTGGATAAATAGGGAAAGATCCCATAGCAATAGACTGTCAGGGGAAACCCAGCCAGGGCTTCAGTTTGAGTTCTCCGTGGCCCCTCTGTGTGGCAGTTCTTGCTCCTGAGTATAGGGGCCCAAACCCTCTGGAATGTGGATCTGAGGACCTATTATCAGACAGTAAATCCTAGAATTTCTTTACGGCCAGCCCCTACAAAGAAAGACGCAGCGGGGAGGGTAGAGCTATATTTTAGGTTTTATGGTTATTTGGGGGCAGAGGTATTTCACTTTCTGTGACCTGCCTGGGGGAAGAAGAATTCTAGTTTCTATGTTGCCTTAAGAGAGAAAGGAGAGCAGGAGAAAGTGGAGTGGGAAAAGGTCAAACAGATCTCGCTTCTGAGGCCCTTTTGGTTTCCTTCAGTTCAAAGGACTCAGCATATCAAGGCACCATAGTCTGGAATATTGTGTTCTGGGTCCCAACAATATTCGAGTGAACATGGGAGTGGTAAATGTCCTGGGGCTATGTAATAAAGGGGGATCTATTAGGATTGCATGGGGGACGGGAGCGGTGGCTCACGCCTGTAATCCCAGCACTTTGGGAGGCTGAGGCGGGCGGATCACAAGGTCAGGAATTTGAGACCATCCTGCCAAACATGGTGAAACCCCGTCTCTACCAAAAATACAAAAAAAAAATTAGCTGGGCGCGGTGGCGGGCGCCTGTAGTCCCAGCTACTTGGGAGGCTGAGGCAGGAGAATGGCGTGAACCTGGGAGGCGCAGCTTGCAGTGAGCCAAGACTGTGCCACTGCACTCCAGGCTGGACGAGAGAGCGAGACTCCGTTCTCAAAAAAAAAAAAAAAAAAAAAAAAAAGGATTGCATGTGGGGAGGCTTCAGCTTGGTAGCGATACATGGGTAGGATTTGCATAGGAAGAGGGTCTGGGTAAAGGCATTCCTGGTGAATTCCTGGCACCACTACTTCTAGGTGAGTAGAGAATCAGAAAGAAGGGTGTTGGGGAACAAGTGAATATAAGCAGGGGGGTTCCAGAAGTTCTTAGTGGGCTCTGGAGCTGTCATTATTTGGGAGATGAGCCTCCGGGCTCATCTTAAGGCAAAGCAAGGCTACTGTTTTCACTTCGATTATTTGCTTACCTGGAGTGGACTGAGTGGTTGATAGACACTATGGAAAGACATGAAGCCTCCGTCCTCTCTCCCAAAATAAACTACTCCCTCTTTGGTGAAACAACTGAAATCAGGAGGACAGACCAGGAGTACTACAGAGTACTGCAGGAGTGCTGCAAAGCAATGTACCCTTCTTAATGTATCACAGAGGGAGCGCTGCAAGTTGCAGAGAACAGGAGTGCTGGAATTTAGGATTCCATTCAGTGACCCTTACTCCCATCCCAGACTCTGCTCCAGGTTATAGCACAGCATGCGTCAGCACAGAGCTACCTCTGAGAGCTAGCACACAGAGTGGGTGAGCGGGAGAGGCCCCAGTGTGCCTGAGGAAACTGAGGCAGGAGACAGGGACATGAACTTGGAAGTTATCTTATGTATGCAGGAATGAGGACCAGACCTGAGCAGTGGGAATTAGGGCAATGAGAATAGGAATAGACATGAGAGATATTGCCAGTTGGTTGATGTTTGTCATGCATTTAGAAAATGCAAAGCCAGACCAGGCACGGTGGCTTATGCCTGTAATCGCAGCACTTTGGGAGGCCAAGGTTGCCTGAGGTCAGGAGTTCAAGACCACCCAGGGCAACATGGTGAAACCCCGTTTCTACTAAAAATACAAAAATAAATTAACCAAGTGTGGTGGTGTGCACCTGTACACCCAGCTACTTGGGAGGCTGAGGCAGAAGAATCGCTTGACCCTCAGGGGTGAAGGTTGCAGTTAGTCGAGATCGTGCCACTGCACTCCAGCTTGGGCAGCAGAGTAAGACTCCATCTCAAAAAAAAAAAAGAAAGAAAAGAAAAGAAAATGCAAAGTTAAATAGACTGCAGTGTATACAGAACTAATGCAATTGAGCAGAAAAAAGCTGGCCTGTCCGGAGACCAGATAGGACACCCATGTTTTATTTTCAGTTGTGTCAACATCCTGCATGAGACTCCCGGAACTCACTGGCTGCCCCTGTGCATGAGCTTCTTAGGCATGTAATAGAATTAATAGCAGTCTGCTTCTGTGCAGGTAGGTATCCTGCAAAGAGATTCTGCAGGAAACATGTCTGCACATTGTACTCATTCTTGCATTGTTTACCCATGTAGTGACCTTCACAAATGGCTCTGTGAAAGTCACAGGGGAATAACCGAGTTAGTAAGTACTTTATTCCCCTCCTTCATCAGATTCTGCTCTGATTTGCTACATAAAGTTGTGTAATCACCTGGAAATATGCACTGTGCTCCCTCGTGATTTTCAAATGCAAATGAGCAGGTTAACAACCCCAGTGTTGCAATGTTCTAGCCGTAAATATGTTTGGATAACCCAGCAGAGCCATTTAACCTTTGGGAACAGGGCAACTAGCGTATGGCAGCAGGAATCCAACCAGTGCCCTGAGTGCTGAGGCAGAGAGGAGGACAGAAAACGAGAGGCTGGAGATTGTCAAATTCAGTATCCCAGTTGGCTCTTGATTCTTGGTGAAACCATCCCTCAGCTCCTAGAGGGAGACTGTTAGATCATGAAACTAATTATCATCCTTTTCCTCTGCTCCAGGCTGCTACTAAGTTTAACCCAGGAATCACAGTCCGAGGAAATTGACTGCAATGATAAGGATTTATTTAAAGCTGTGGATGCTGCTCTGAAGAAATATAACAGTCAGAACCAAAGTAACAACCAGTTCGTACTGTACCGCATAACTGAAGCCACTAAGATGGTGAGTGAACTGTGTTTAACCTTGAAGTCACTTGGGATTTGT